AACGCCTTGGTGCTTTGCACATAAAAGACTTGGGATCAGCCAGAGATGCCTAGTCCATCGCATCCAGGATCCTTACCTTGTTCGGTCTGGCCTTGTTGGTCACTCGGTTGCTGTACAAGTACGCATGGCGATGCACCAAGAGCTGAAGCGTGTGCATCTGGGAATGGATATTGTCCACGTGCCTTTGCATCAGCATCATCTGGGCCTCGAGCTCCTTCAACTGATACTCCATCAGGCTGAGGTGCGCCGCTGTCCAGGTGTCGCCGTACTTTCGCAGCAGAAAGTGATTCATCCCTTTGTCGTCCGACATGGCTATCAAGGTGTGCTTGAGCTTGTCTCGACTGCGAAGCATCTGAGTCAGCAAGAGCCAGCACAAGAATGTATGCATTGCAAGAGGCGCTCTCAAGGAATGCATTCGTAGCTGGTTCTTTTGGCTTGGCATCATCCAAGATATGATGCACGACATCCCCAAGACTCAGAACATTGTAGTGACCTGAGGTGAGGCTTTGGCCATGGTGCAAGATGCACGCCACAGTGTGATAGGGCTGCCACCGCGTCTCAAGGGAGAGCGGGCGCTCGAAAATGGGCATGTGCACTGCCTTCGGAATGATGATGGGATTATGATTTTTCTGAGGCTCCCCGTTGTCCCCTATGCAACTACGCGGCAATTGCAGGAAAAGCCAAGGTGCCTTGCTGTCCAGGGCATGTGCTTCCTCCTGCTGGTGCCAACGATCGATGAGAGTTTGGGGATCTGGGCAGTCAAGTGTGATGTAGCTGAGTGACAGGCACTTTGAGAGTGCAGCACCATCAACGTGGTGCACCCCTCCTGCGTGTGCATGCTGGGAGGTTCTGGCACTCCATGTGTAATGCAATTGTGATGGGCAAAGCCTCGGCACTAAGAAATCGATGAGTTCTGCAACATCATGTTGACTGTCCGGCCTCCTCCACCCCAGGAGGTTGAACCCCAGGATTTTCAAGGCATTCAGTAGCCTGTCATCATCACGATTGAAGGCTGACGGCAGGAGTGGTCTGTGGATTCGCTGTTCAAGCAGGCTGAGGCAGTAAACAGTGGCGTTAAGGTAACAGTGATTGTGGGGATTAAGGAGAGAGAACTTAGGGAGGGAAGGGTAGATGGTAGGTATGCGGGGATTAGGGAGGGGATTAGGTGAGGTGGGGTGGGTGCTGATGGTAGCGGAGCTGGGGGTCGGCACAGTGTGATCAGAACAGCTGTTGGTATGTACTGATTGGTTGTTGTGTGTTTTCTCTGGCCTCCCCCGTAAGTCATCTGCGCAAGCTGCTGCGCCATCGGTGGACGCAGCTGGTCGTCCACCTTCATGCTGAAGCCGGCGAGATTCGTCAACGACAGCCCGGCCAGCTGGCGAAACTGGTCGTAGACCTCCGTGGCTTCGGAGCCACGCAGTGATACTGCTAGGTGAAAGATGGCCTGCTGGGCTCCTTGTTCCTCCAGCTTGGCGAGGTTGATGGTGCTCTGGAACTTGTGGATAATTTCTCCTCGCATCGATTTCTGGAGTTCTGTGATTATTCTCACTGCTTCGTCGTGAACCAGGGGCTCCTTTGTCTCGTCTGCCACCAGTTTCCGAAGCTTGGGTGACCACCTCATGTAGGTCCAAGCGTTGGAGCTCGTAAGCCATTCCGCCTTTTTCAGAGATTCCCTGCCCGGTTCCGTCGCCACCACCCGTTGCATCCGGGCTAACAATTCTCTCAGCAAACAGTTGATCAAAACAGTTCGCTGGGATGACTGGATGGACTGATCCCCCGCTGCCTGCTTGGCCTTCCACTCTCGCGAGACGTTCATGAGGGAAGGCAGGATCGACTTGTCGTCCTGTCGAAAGAAGAGGACGAACTGAGTGTCCTTCCTCAGGGCCGCCAACTGCTCTTCGTGCTTCAGCAGCAGCTTGCTGATCAGACGAAGCTGGGAGTCCTGTGCTGGTTGTGCAGAGAACGAGGCTGGAGTCGGTCTCCACGGGAGTTGACTCGGGGGAGGGTAGTTGGATCGACCTCCCTGACGCCCCGGTGGCTTGCGAAGATCCGGCCTGGCTCGTTTGGGGGCCTGTTCGGCCCCCGTCTCCGCTGCCCCAGAGGGCATGCAGTGTGCGAAGATGTCCGCCTCGGGGTCTCCCATCTGAGGCAGCCTGCTTCGAGGACGCAGGCTTGCTGATGCGAACTGCAAGGCACAGCTGGTGCAGGACTGTGCATTGTATGACGTGCCTGCACGGAGCTCCCACTTTGACCCCACAGTAGCGGCAGCTGCGCCCCCGGGTGAACTGGCTTTTAAAAGTTAGGCAAAGCTTCTGCGTGTGTTCAAGTGCATGGGGGAAGTCGTGGTGGTGGGTTCGGTTGTAGTGCTGTTTGACGTGTCTGCCGTCTGCAATCCACATGCCACATACTACACAACGACTCTGAAGCCTGGCCCGCATGTGGCGATTGTTAAGATGCTGGTCCCACGACTCAAGCGCAGAGAGAAACAGAGGATCAGAGATCAGTGGCACCGCATTTTGGGCCGCGAGCTCTTGGGATTCTGCTCCCGCATAGGCTCGGGCCGTTGCATCGACGATGACAGGTTCCTGCAAGGGACGACTCATAGGTGTGTCTTGAGATGTTGCCATTTCGTAAAATTTCGTCGACACAGTTTGCAAGTGGGAAGTCCGTTGACTGCATGATCTGGTGCGCTGAAGGCGGTCTTAATTCTATGGTCCTCCGGGGGGTCCTGCTCAGGGTGTTTGATGGCCGAGTGGATCAGCCTGGCGTGAGAGGTGGGTAGGACCAAGTCACAGAACTGGCATGGGAATCCCGGATTGGGGCAGGGCTGCGCCTCCTCCGGTGAGGTGAGGCTGTGCGCAGTCAAACCGCGTAGAGCCTCCTGAAAGCAGTCAAGAAGGTGGTTGAGGTGTATGATGACGTTGTCGTTGTTGATGAGGTCAGGGCCGAGTGGCTGGTTTGCAGGGTCACGACACGCACACAACTTGACCAGCCTGGCATGAATGGATTGCTCTGGTGTAGGGAGTCTGGCTCTCTCCCAGATCGCTGAGGTGCTGACATGTTGAAGGTGCACGGGCTCCCGAAGGATGGCTCGGACATGCCTTGTGGCAATGGTTTTGATTCTCTGCAGCCCTTTAGCAGTACAGCCTGTGGCTTCGAGAGAGTATGTGAGACAGGGGGGGATGCACGCCTGCCACAGCCTCAGCCTGTACTTGATGGAGAGAGGCCCCCTCCCATTCAGGATCTTCCTGAGTTGCTGGTATCTGGTCTGAGCAGCACTTATCCTGTGTCCTACATTGAGGTCTCGTCTGTCTCTGTACGAGATGATGGTGCCGAGGTAAGTGTGTGACTCCTTGATTCTGAGGAGACACTCTCGCCCATGGACTTGCAGAATCAGGAAGGTGTCTCCCGCCTTCTGGCGGGTGTGCTGCCGTAGAAGCTTCTTGGCCGTCTTGCCTTTCAGGTTGACAAGGAGAGCTGTCTTCTGTAGGTTCACCCTGAGCTGATAGGTCTCCAGCGTTTCCATCAGCAGAGTCAGGTCGGAGATCGCAGCTGTCCAGTCCTGCAGGCAGGTGATGGTCCAATGCCCACAGAAGTCGTCAGCGAAGAGGGTCAGAATGTTCTGAACCCACATAAGGCTGCGATGCCGTGCAAGATGCTCTAGAACGGAGAGTGTGAAGCTAACCCAGAGGGTGGGGGCTGCTCTACATCCCTGTTTTATCCCGTTGGTGGTGGTCACCTGGCCACGAGCCTGGGAGGTTCGAAAGATGTACTTGGCCCCTCGGTGAAGTTGTTGGATTACATTGATGAGGTCACTGGGAACTTGGTGGTCCAGTAGTGATTGGATGAGCAGGTCCCTGCTTACACTGTCAAATGCACTGCTGAGGTCCAGGGACAGGCAAAGGCCTCCATGACAATGTAGGGCTTTGACTCCCTGATGCATCTTGAACCTGTTGTTTATCTGTCCCCGCTGGAGGGTTTCAATCTCACCAAAGTAGGAATGAACCCTAAGTATGGCATCATTGACTCCCCGTCCCGCGCAGTAAGCAAATTGTGGCATATGGTCAAGCATGGGCTGTAAGTGCTCCAGGATTTGAGAAGCCACATTACCTGCTAAGGCTTTCGCACACGGTGGCATGAGGCCAATGGGTCGTTTAGCGCTCATGGTGGTGGGGGTTTCGAGGGCTTATTTAACCAGCAGACGTGGGCGTCCTGAAGGTCACCGTCCAGGAGGTCCGTAGACTGCGGACGGAAGTGTCGCTCAAAGCAGGGGCCTAGGTGAGCTCCAACCGATGTTGCACAGAGCTTCCAGACAGCATTCGGTGCAATGTGCCTCGGCACAGCTTTCCGGATGTTGAGGGCATCCAGGGCTGCTTGTAGCTCCGCGGTGGAAAAAGTAAGGCCAGCCTGCAGTGGCTGAAGGTCAGTGTTGTCCGGTGTGGCTGCAAAGGTAGCCTGGCTGTGCTTGATGATTGCTGCCATCTCGGCGGAGCTATCCAAGACCCGTCCATCAGAACCCTGCAATCTGGATACCCCCTGGGCTGTCTTGGGTCCCAGCCTGCGAGCTATCAAGAAGAGGTCACGGTGGTTGCCCTTTCGAGCTGCGGCTTCAGCCTGACGCATTTGATCTTCAAGGAACTGTCGCTTGAGATCCTTGCTCTGTCGTCTTAGCATGGCAGAGGCTCGCATGAATTGTGCATACAGTCGCCATCTGGCCCAAATGTTGCGAAGAGACGGCAGGCCTGAGCGGCGCAGTTGGTGGTGTAGCTGCCAGGTGCCTCGAGCAGATGCCCGGTAACCTTGATGTGCACTAACTCTGTGATCAGCACGCTGGGCTGGTGGGAAGGCACGACAAGTCTCTTCTAGAAGAATGGTGTTGACTGTGTCATGCTCTGTACACAGGGCAGCCCCTGGGGGCAAGGCTGACAGTCGAGTTTCCACAGCTTGTTGCAAAGCCTGAGCCGCTTCAGAGTGTTGTGACACCGCTGATTGCAGAGCTGCAGCCTCAAACCTGAAGTCGGCCTGAGGCTGCAGGGCACGGTATGCCATGAGCAGCATCTGGACGACAGCCTGTACCGGGTGATGGTTGGTTTGGCGATAGGCTCCCACCGGGAAGGAATGCATGGGCGCAGCATGTTTGGCTTGATGGTTGGCGGAGTGTGTTCGGAGCAGCACATAATCCAGCTGACTCTTGACACTGGGTGATGTGAAGGTGTGATGGGGTCTAGAGTGCCAGGTGTTAACTGCACAGAGGTCGCACTCTTTTAGTAGGGTTTGAAGGTCCTTATCGTGATTGGCATGAGTGACAGGCTTAGGGACGGAGGGGCCTACGTGAGGATGCATGGGAGTAAGGGTGGCATTGAAATCCCCGGCGATCACTAATTGATGTCTCGCTGGTGTGGCTGTGATGAGGGCCTGCAGACTGTGCCATATGTGTGTGCGAAGGCTGCGATTCTGGGCTGCACTGAGGTGCGGCCTCCAGACATGCTGGTACAGGCCAACTATGCATACTGGCATCTGACTGCGATGGTGAGTTGCTGTGACCTGAAGGAGTCGGCCTTGCACGTGCTCCTTGACTCTGGGTTCAGTGAAGCATTTGCAGGATAGCATGCACAAGATGCCTGCGTATCTGTCTGGTTCCGCTCCCTCTTTGTGTCCTGTGCTATGGATGCAAAGCCACTGACCGCTACGGTAGTCGTCCACTTGCCTCCAATGTGTTTCGGAGATAATGATGACGTCGTATTTGTCTGTGGCTTCTCGAGTGTCACACCAGGCCATGAGTTCTTGAGTCATGGCAGCTGAAAGACCCCCTGCATTCCAAGCAAAGACCCTGAAGCGGAATTCCGGCCTGGTGGTGCGTCGTGGCTGTGTTCGGGCTGTCCTGGGCACTCGGGGGACTGTGGTTAGGGCAGTGGGGGGTTTAACACGAAGGGCATTGAGAGTGGCACGGGTGTGCCATCGGTTTCTGTACCAAGTCCCTTCCTGGATGGATTGGTTGGCTCGACGACAAGCTCTATTGAAAGCTCTTTTCATATGTCTAGTCGGATGTATGTGTTCCCTGCCTTGATGCGCTGTGCCGTGGTGCTTCCCCGGACGAGGTCCGAGTCCATCCTCCGTGACGGCTGCAGCAGAGGAAACCCTCGCCCCAACTGTAGCAAGTATGAGTACTTGGATGGCCGGCTTTGCATGTCTACAGTCTCCGGATTTGGGACCGGAGGGGACCGAGTTACTCTTATGTTTACCTGGCATCCCCTGCTTCTTAGGGTTATGAGCCTTATTTGGGGAGTTGTCGATGCACAGGCTTTGCACGGGTAGGCTGGGAGAGCTATGGTTATGAGCCTTATTGAGGTTGTTGGGCGGACAGTGTGCAGCTGCTCCTGCTGGGTCAGCTTGCTCGGTCTGCACGGCACCAGGCGAAGCAGAAGATCGGCGGCTGCATGGCTTGGCTGGGCGCAAGCGTAGTCGCGGGTGTTGAAATCTCGCTGCTCGGAGGTTTCTGGCCCTCCATGGCGCTAGGGTAGAAAGGCAGCACTCAGGGCTGCCCATCCACGGCACGCGATGATCGCCTTTCGCCTGCCTTGCGGAAGCCCCTTGCATGGGCCATACACCAGTTCTGCCATTGCAGCAATCGCTCTCCTGTGAGTTGCCTTTGCAGAATTTCACGCAGGTTGCTCCAGCTTTCAGCGGCAATGGACCGTTGAAACCAGCTGTGCTTTCCCGCCCGGCTTTTAGCACTACGGCCGCCATCTGTCTCATCCAGTTCGCGGCGGTACAAGGCACTGGCTTCGGCTCGTGCTCGGTCCAATGCGTCTCCACGCAACACCAGTGAAAAACTGCTGCTCTCGCTGATACCTGCCTGGCTTGATCCGTCCTCAGAAAGAGAAGATGAGGAGGACGAGCTGTAGAAGATCGGTGCTTCCTTCGCGGCTGCGGCTCGGATTGCACGTTCCTCAGCAGTTCGGGGCCGTTGTGCTCCTGGAGGCGGCGGAGGCCCTGCAGGCTGACTGTGGCCCACAACATTAGCAGCATCAGCATCTGAAGCAGAGGCAGCAGGTGCCGCCGGAGTTCGCTCGATCGAGTCCGTCCTGCGACTCTTCCGAGCTCCAGCATGGCTCATTACCGCAGCAGCTACCAGTTGATCAGAAGAGTCTCGGGCCCAGGGGCTTCATCGCCATCGTCATCATCATCATCATCATCAGCATCATCATCATCACCACCATCACCATTCATCATGTGGACACCATCTTCCTTATCCCCCACACCCCCAGACCTTAGACCCCTTAACTAACCCCCCACGAACCCGAAGTCCCTAAACCCCCACCCCTAAACCCCTAACCCCTAAACTCCTAAACCCCTGAACCCCTAAGCCCCAACCCCTAAACC